AGTGCTTACTAAAAGTTTTCAAATATTTGCTGGAAAACAGGATGCGGCGCTACTTTTTACATTATTTCAATGCGCCATCCCATTCTGCTGAAGAAATACGTCCAGCACCACATACCTCGGTTATAGCATCTTGTGAAAAATTAAGAGGAATGATCTGGAAAGCAACGAGGTAATATATAATGCGGTTAATGCTGAGCTTAAAGAGCAGGATTTTGAAAATTGTTTTCAGAAGTGGATTTATAGGCTTAAGAAATGCAATGAAACTAATGGCGATTATGTAGAGAAGATAAAAAGAACAAAGATTACGAATACAAAAATGACTATTCGCTCTTTTTTATCTGGTCAACTACTGCTTTGTTAATCCCCTCTTATGTGTAGAAGGAAGTCGCAAAGAGTAATATTGCAAGATCTCGGTGTTTACTCCACTCTGCGAGAGATAACACGAACCCGAAACTTTTTTCTTAAATATTCGATGCCTTCGTTGCTTTTGTAGCTTACAGCGTCACAAATTTCGGCCATACAAAAGCAATAATCATCTTTCTATACTTCAATCCATTCACAGTAGTTCTTCTTTAAGCTTCATTTTCCAAAAAGTTAGGTGCAATGCAGGGGTCATGGCTTTAAACCCAACTAAACAGTAACAAGTTGGGAATAGAGAGGCTTTTCGACAATAAATCAAAGGTTTCCTTGCTCCAAATGCGACAGTTTCTCTTATTGGCGTAGCCATCGTGGAGGAAATAGGCCTCAACATGCGGGTTGAGTTCTTGTGTTAAATGAACTTTATAGGCCTTAGAACGCAAGTCTTTATGCAAAATACGATAAAATGACGTTTCCGAAATTCCAAAGAACGACTAGGAATGTACAGGTCTGAGGTTTCTTCAATACTTTGGACAACGGAGCCAATATTGTCAGTTTTTCCTTGTTCGACGTGCACCAGTTTTATTCTTCACATCAACAACACATAACTTGTCCCAACAGTCACACTCGCTGGCAAACTCTAGTCTACACTTAAAGAGAGCTTTTATTCAATCATGCCGAAAAATTTTTCTTTCAGTGCACTCTCTTTTTCACCCTTTCAATGCAAATCTCACAACCCAAACCCTACCCTGGACGCTGTACGTGTACTCCTATGATGAACAACTTCCGTTCCGGGTATGACTTGCGCCGTCGTCGACGCCGGCGGTGCGCCAAAAATCGAACGAGCAACAATAAAATAAATACGCTGAATGCATGCAAGGTTCGTTCATTACTCATATGTGTACATAGATATTTGTGCATTTATTTTGTGCAAACGCTTTTTATGTTACCGGTCGGTATTATAGCTTTTAATTTATATACCAAAAAAAAAAATACGTTGAACAAGCGATGGCAAATGGGAGGGCAGTGTGAGAAAATGGCACTAAAATATAAATGTATATTAATAAAAATGAAAATAAATCAAAGGTATAAATAAAATGGCTATGAAAATGCCATATAAACACCAGAATGTTTATTGTATATTTTAAAAATATAAATATTGGCGCTGCAACACCAGTGCAAACACCAGCAGTGCAATGCATGAATAAAGCATATGTTGAGTGCAAAAAGTGTACAGGTGCAAATATTTACGAAGTAAATAGATTGCCATAATAAACCAAAGGCGATTTCAATTCTTTCGCGGAATATTTTTTAATAGTTGGGATATGAGGTTTTAATTGTTAAAGTTGTGCTTATTGTGGCTCAAAAACTGCCAAGGCATTAATTGATGCGCAAAACGTGTATCGATTTATATGTAAACTAATTGAAAAATTATATACTACAATTATACTAATATACTACCGAACTCGACCACGCGTTGGTGTGGCTTCCTTCAATTTGTCCAATTTTTTTTATAATTATCTCAATAAGTCCATTGATTAGTGTGAAGTGTTGGAAGTGGCGGCATATTGTCGAAATTAAATGTCGCTGAGATCAGGAGCTTCCATTTCAGACCTCAAATAGTCGGTTATTATGGCGCTATAACGGTCGCCATTAACGGTTACTGTCTTTTTGGCATCATTTTAGAAGAAATATTGACCGCTGATTACACCAGGGCACAAGCCACGCCAAATCGTTGTTTTTCTGAATGAAATGGCTGCTCTTCGTCCAAAATGCGGCAATTTTGCTTGTTTACTTACCTATTGAGCCAGAAAGAGGCCTAATCATTGGAAAAAATTTGGCTCGTAAACGTCGGATATTCTGGGATCTTTTCAAGAGTACATAGATCGAAAGGATCTCGCTTGAGACTATTGAACAGCTTTAGTTCTTGGATAAGCTGTATTTTGTACGTTTACAATTTAAGATATTGGCTTAAAATGCGACGTGATGTTCCATAAGTCAGTCTGAGTTGCTGCAAACGGCGCCGAATCTCTCTCCACGGTCTTTGTGTACACTCTCAGCTACGACCGCTATATTTTTTTTTACTACGTGCTGGATGTGGTATAATCTGTCGAATATTATCCAATAAGGAATTCTAGGTCTCTAGGGTGATGGCGTACGCTCAAAATTCCGAATATGTTCACCATAAGTAGAGCTAAAGGCGCAAAACACATTCTCTACAGAAATTGAATTTTCTTATTAAAATTGATCTTATTAAAATTGATTTGTAAACATAAATGCCAAAAAAGGCTAAACTAAAATAATAATAATAATATTAGAAAAAAGTACCACTGCTAGAGCTTTCCTTGAACTCAGATGATGCCGTCTTTAATCCCCGAAAAGCAATTTTTCAAATAAGGATTGTATCATCATCGTACATACTGAAATCAATCGTTTTAGATGAACCAGAATTTGAGCTAGTATATACATATGAACTGGTATTTAAATAATTATAAAAAAATTAAAAAAATAAATTAATGAATTAAAATAAAATAAAATAAATAAAAATAAAATAAAATATAATATAATAAAATAAAATAAAATAAAAAAAAATAAAATAAAATAAAATAAAATAAAATAAAATAAAATTAAATTAAATTAAATTAAATTTAATAAAATAAAATAAAATTAAATAAAATAAAATAAAATAAAATAAAAACAAAAAAATAAAAATTAAAACAAAAAATAAAATAGAATGAAATAAGGAAAATAAAATTAAGCACAGTTTGCTCGTGCTTGTAGTGACAATTAAGAGTTCGTCGGGCATTGCCGTGCTTAAAATATTAGTTGCTTACAAGGAAAACCAATGCAAAATAAATATGGATCACCGAAATATGTTAAATATGTTAAGTGGCTTTTTCATACTCAAGTTGAACATTTAACAGTTTGTAACGAGCCCGGTTCCTTTTAAAATTTAAAATTTTATCATATGATTGGTGATTCCTTCTCCATAAAGAAAACATTATTTATAATTTCGAGCAAATCGATCTTGGTTCTGGCTGTTGAGTTAATTTCTTGGAAGCAAATGTTTTCCAGTTAGACATGCCATTAAAAAAAATAACCTAAAGACAACCAGTACTAGAATACAAGCACGCCCCATTGTCCATTAAGTTCTCTTTGCACCTGTGTTGTGACTAAATATGGGTGCCGTAAAGTGCAACTACGCTTATAAGTTGAAAAATTGCTATTTCAATTGGTGAGATTTCAACTGCTACTGTAAAAATATTGAGCACGCAATTCGCGCAAAAAAGCTTATGCAGCTCCTTTGCAAAACTCTCGTTAATGCTTGTCTAGCGTGTTCTGAGAAAAACTTATCTCCTGCAGCTCACAGTCTGCTCGATTAGTTATTAATATCAACTAAGCGCCGTTCGCAAAATTAATCACTTGGTGCACTTCTTGGCACACGATTTTTTATAAAGACTTTGATATAAAATTGGTACAACAACTTTATCCTTAGGACTAACCGATCGTCTAAAGATCGCTTAGAAATGATTGATAATTTTCTCATGGAGCTTTTTGTAAGAATTTTGACAACAACTACCATTATACCAGTCCGGCTGAAAACTGGACATTCGAGATGATGTCAGGGAACTTTTATTGAAGCAATTTGAAAAAGTTGACAGATAAGGTTCTGTATAGGCGACAAAATGAGATGAGATCAGAAAAGACACACCTTTATGAGGTGGCCTTCTCAAGGAGTTTATTCAACGGGCTTTTTCAACACATACATGCACATTTGAATGCTAAGAATTTCAATGAGAAAAAAAATAAAATAAATCAGCATATAATAAGTTTTTTTTTTTTATTAAACTTATTATAAATTAATCCAACTGTTTACACTGTATATGTATATATCTACATACATATATTTATAATTGTCTGACTTATAAAAAATGTAAATTGCCAACAATTTTATTTGTCAACTCAACAATTGACTTTTATTACTCCACTTACGTCACCCGCGCCAATCTTTAGAAAAATAAAAATAAATATCAAAAAACAAAATAAAAATGTAAAGAAAATTACACTCGACAACTGCGAGTGTAGTATACTTTAAGGCACACTTTCAATACATACAGAATACCATGCATTCGTTGAATAGTAATTGTGTGAGTAATAGCCGCAACAGACATGTGTCATTTGCTGCCAAGAATATACGCGAATGTGTGAGTTTACAAGTGTGTAATGCTTGAGTTGGGCTGCCATTCAGCGTTCGCCGCAAATATTTAAAATTCTACAGATGGCTTGGTCAATTTGCAGCACACAGAGACCACATCAAATATTTATGATATAATTTTAATGGCGTTGCTGTAATATTTTGCTCACTTGCAAACATGCACTTACATACTTACTGACCTATTGTGTGTTAATTTTCTTTTTAGCAATAAAATAGCATTTTATATTGTGAAATGTATGTACATACATAGTGTACCTGGAAATTGTAAAGGATTATAAGGAATTAAATTATGAATTAAAAATTATTTAAAAATTGTTTAACTATTAAAGTAACTTCATACAAGTCTGTTCCTAATTATTTAATTTTTTTTTATAAAAATTTGGTATTTATATACTAAATTAAATAAATAAATTTTTCTTAATTGCAGACACCGAAATCACAGCTGAATCATATGTAAGCAACAAATGTTGAAATAAAATGTGAGTATAAAAATTATTTCTTCCTCATAAAATTTCTTTTTACAGCCCCAATCCTTTCAAATAAAATCCCTGCCAATTACATTCCGCACAAAATGTTAAGGCTTCTCTCGGCATATACTCTTTTATATGATATGATTTTTAACATTTCTACACAATTGCTTAAAACCAGCCAAACTTCAAATAAAATCCGAGCTTTATCTGCAGTGCACAAACGCACATATGCACATATGCACACACTTGGAAGGAATAGAATATCTCAGCATGCTTTTATTTGAACCATCAGCTAGGGAGCCATATGCAACAACAAATGTAAAGAAATTTTTCGCTCTCTAGTAAGTGAAATGAAAAGTATGGGTCTGGCATGCGGAAGCTAAATATGTATGTATAAGAAGTCTGTAAGAAGAGTGCAATGTATGCAATCACACCTTTTCTTTTAGTGAGATATGCACATATCTGCGCATTTCGCATTCTCACTTGCTGCAGCACAGCTAGTTTCAATATACTTTTCTCAATTCCCCAATGTTGCTTGCGAAACATAACTTAGAAAGGAAATGCAGAATGTTTGTATGCAAGTATGTAAGTAAGACGGAGTAAAATTCAAGTGATTGCCACAATATTGCTATGTTGCTGATGCAATTACAGTTCGAAAAAAAAATTCTTAAGATTTTTATTTCACCATTTTCCTTACGAAATAGGGATGTAATGTTAAGCATGGCAGTTTATGAAGGCGTAGCATATAACTAGGCGTCTCAAACTGAAATAACTCGGTGCGGGTAAGCCATCCAGCATGTAATAATTTTATAATATTAAAAAGATCATTCTGACACTTCTTTTTAATTTTCCTCCATTTTCTTTATTTTGTTTGATTTAATTTTCTTTCTTTTGTTTTCATTTCGTATTATATTATTTTATTTTGTCTTGTTTTGCTTATGATTTTTGATTTTTTTATTTTATTGTATTTTGTTTTTTAATTTTTTTATGTTTTTTATTAAATAAAATTTCATTTTTCAATTTAATTGTATTTATATAAATTTATTTAATTTAATTTATTTATTCTTATTTATTATTTTTTTATTTTTTTAAATACTTTTATAGATAGTATAGTTTAATTTAATTTCTTTTATTTATTTATTTTTTTTGGGCTTATTGTATTTTATTTTTTTTTTTTGTTTAACTTTATTTTATTTCATTACAATAATTTTTTTATTTTATTTAGCTTTGTTTTTATTTAATTTTAATTTTTTATTTTGCTTTATCTCATTTCATTTTATTTTATATATGTAAATTTATTTTATTATATTAATTTAATTTTATTTATTTTAACTATTTTTATTGTATTTCATGATATACTTTGTTAACTTAATATATTTTATTTTATTATATTTTGTAGTACTTTAATTTATTCTATTTTTCTTTATATTATTTTGTATTAACTTATTTGATATTACTTAATTTAATTTCATTTTATTTTGTTATTTTATTTTAGTTGCTTTCGATATATTTTTGTTTCATTTTTTTTTTGTTTTTGGCTCAGTATATTTTACTTTCTTTTGTTTTACTTCATTTTATTTTATTTTAATATTGCTTAATTTAATTTAGTTTAATTTAATTTATTTTATTTATTTTATTATTTGGAATATTGGCAAGTCTTCTTTTTTAACCGTGTACAATAAAATACCTTAAAAAATAATTATAATAATAATAATAAACAACTGCGATATTTCTTATTGGCGACCCATTTGCTACCACTAAATTTGGCAGCTAAACTTTATTCATTTATCAAAACTCATTACTCAATAAATATCGCCTGATTTTGGGTACGCGCCATAAAGTAGGCAACAAAAGGCGTATAAAACCGCGAAATACCAGTAATATTTTGGCTTTTCTTAACCGAAAATGAATAGGACTTTAAACGTGAGCTCCTTTTGGGAAAACCAATAAATTAAAATTTTTGGTAGCACACATATGTATATGTTTATTGTAGTTAAATATATACATATGCATACAGTTGTGCGTTTTTATAGTAGAAGTGAAATATAAGAGTAAATGTTGTATTTGTTTTTCTCATTTAAAGTTTCAGAGAATATTTCAAACTTACGGGTGATTTAAAATAATCCTTATACGTGCATGTAGCAGCGTTTTGTGTTCTAAGGTTACGTAGCTTTTTTACATTTTTTTATTTCTCATATCTGGCAATACTTTAACGACTTGTCGTAGTTCAAGAATTATGTGTAACAAATTTTTTCTCTTCGTTTCGGCTTAACATTTTTCTTAGCAACATTCTTTATTTTCACCAAATATTTTCTTTTTTGCAACACTTATTATTTTGCAACATGTATCCTTATCAACATTACTTATTTTGCAACATATCTTTTATTAGCAATGTTTCTCTTTGGCAACATTTTCCTTTAGCTAAATTTTCTTCTTATCAACATTTTTCTTTAGCTAAATTTTTTTTCTTTTTTTTTTTGAAACATTTTTTTTAGTTACAACATTTCTTAGAAACTCTTTCCTTAATAACATTTTTTTATTAATATTTCATTTTGGCAACATTTTTCTTTAGCCAAATTTTTTTTTTTTTTTTTTTTTGGAACAGTTTTTGTTTAATTTTTTTTATTTGCAACATATCTTAGAAACTCTTTCCTTAGCAACATTTTTTAATTAGCAATATTTCTCTTTACCAACATTTTTCTTTAGCCAAATTTTCCTCTTAGCAACATTTTTCTTTAGCTAAATTTTTTCTTATTTTTGAAACATTTTTTATTTGTTTTTTATTTGTATTTGCAACATATCTTATAAACTCTTTCCTTAGCATCATTTTTTAATTATCCATTTTTCTTTTTGGCAACATTTTTCTTTAGCTAAATTTTTTCTTTTTTTAAAACATTTTTTATTTAATTTTTTTTTTATTTGCAACATATCTTATAAACTCTTTCCTTAAAAACATTTTTTAACTAGCCATTTTTCTTTTTGGCAACATTTTTCTTGAGCTAAATTCTTTCTTTTTTTGGAACATTTTTTATTTAATTTTTTAGATAGCAATATTTCTTTTTGTCAACATTTTTCTTTAGCCAAATTTTCTTCTTTGTAACATTTTTATTCTTAAAAACGTTTTTTATTTGTAACATTTTTCCTTAGCCACATTCTTTTACTTGCAATATTTATATTCTTATAAATATTTTTTCTTGCAAATTTCTTCTTAGCGTTATTTTTCCTTATCGACAAATGTTTCTTAACTTATTTTTTTAACCAACTTTTGTTCTTTAGTAAAATTTATTCTTAGTAATTTTTTTACATGCCCGATCTTAAACTCTCGAAAATTTCATTAATTTTATACCACGGCACATCTGTTCCAATAAGCCAGACTATTCAAACGCAATTTATTTGCTTAGTATGTACGTATGTATATAGATAGCCCGCAATGGTTTGTGTTCTTGTTGTTGCTGCTGGTTTATAATTTGTCACCATTAAGCTATGCCTTGCGCATTTGGCACCATAGATGCTTCATTACAAAACGCAATTCGCGCCCAAAACTATGCTAAATAATCACATTAGTCAGCGCTAATTATGCATATACTCATACATACCTACTATATACATACACAATGTATGAACTCAGCACGAAAGCGAAATTATGCGGCTATATGCCGCCACGAACCTAAGCAAGAACAACAACAAAAAACAAAAGAGGCGTGGCAGATCGAAAAATTATGCGCTTTTCAACGCGATGGGAGGGAAAAGAAATTGGCGAGACCTAGAGTGCGGATGAAGAAAGTGAAGAAGAAATGAACAGCACTAGATGATGCACTGCCGGCTGCGGATAAATTATGTGTATACCCATACATATATGCATCATGTCGAACTTAAACAAAAGAAACAAGCAGCGCTATATATGTCTGTATGTATGCACCGTTTCTACAATATAAGCGCTAAAATGACTTTGCAGCAGCTCGCGCAGCTTGCCTTAAATGTTGTGGATCACAGCTCTAGCGGTAAATTGAAAATTATTGCATTCAATGCCATCTGTCATGGCTGCTTTGACAGCCGCAATGGCGATGCTACATGCTTGCGTACATATGTACATATATGGATGACAAAGTGTAGCATCTGTGTGTTTGCATTTTGTAGCGAAATTTGCTGTGCCAAGCGCTCAACTGCCGTTTAATCGAAAGACTGTGGTGACAAAAATAGCAGCAACAACAATAACAACAACAACTGTACTAGCAATAAACCTCAAAATCAAAAACCGCTGCACTGTTGGTTGTTTTAACGATGTGGCCACAGCACGAAATGAGGAAAAATATGACTGTGGTCCAAAAGAATAAAAGAAAAATTCGCCACTGTATCATAGGCAAACAACAGTGGGAGTGCTGAGGCCTCGGGGCATAGAGAGAGAGAGAGAGAGAGAGATAGAGGGAAAGAGACAGAGATGCGGTGCTTTCTGCCGGCAATATTTTGCTGTTGAAAGAAGATTTATTAAGCGACTTGGCTAATGTTGCAGCTAATGCAATAACAAACAAACATATCCACACCCACGTGTATATATACATATACATACATCTGTATGTATATGCAGAAAATCAATTACCGCACAAAGTGAGTGGAAAGTATTTGCGTTGCGATAATAGTGCCAAATATAAGCGAAACTTTATAAGTTTACAAAAATTTTAAGATATATGTAAGATATATGAAGGCAATTAATAAAAAAAATATTTAAAATATGTGTTCTGTTAACTTATTAGACTGCTAATTTTTGAGCTAAATTTTCTTAGACTTTTATGAAGCGCTTAAAAATTGGAAAAAGTGGGATTTTTTTTTACTTATTTAGCAGTTTTATCTTTCGAAAAAGTTTTTTTTTTCAGCAACCTCTTAACTGCTCATTAAAGAAGAACGTTTTTTTTATTATTAAACATTATTTGTATACATATGAATAGACATAAAAACGAGAAAGTTTCCGGAAATAGTTATTTAAACTGCCTCCGCTGAATATTTTTCAGCAA